CACCACCTGGAGTAATGGGCCTTCTCCCCAGGATCCAGCTCCCTTCTCATGAAGCCTCAGTCCTGTCACCTTGTGTTGGCCATAACCTGCCTGTGGTGCTGGTCTAATAATGCGAGGCCAGGAGGCAGAGATGGCTAAGTGCCACGGTGGGGACCAGAATGGGCACAGGAAGACCATTCAGGGAGGCTCTCTCAAGGCTCTGACATTCTCTAGCCAGTGGCCTGTTTTGGATCTACCACTTGTGAAGCTGCTGCCTCTCAGCAGGGACTGGCCTCTCTGCTGCTCTCAGAAGGTGCCATGCTGTGCTTGATAAGAGCATAAGGGAGCCAGGGAGTGCAGCGATTTCTGTCCTTGGGGAAGGCACTGCTGGAGGGTGGAGCTTTCCCTATAGCGAAGACCCCTGTCAGAGCTACCTTGTAATGGGGGGGACCCCAAGCATGTATTCAAGCTTCACCTTACAGCATCATCCTCATTAAGAGCTGTGCCTAATGGACCTCTTCTGCAGGGATGGATGCTCCCATCAAAACTGCGGTGTGCACCCTTGCTTACTCTGCCCACAGTTGACAATGGTGTCCAGACAAAGACCTTAGGTGGTCCCCAGAGATGTCTGGCAGATTATGTGCCAGACTCACATCCAGCCCCATCCCTTCTAATCTGCAAGTTGGCTGCCACCCCAGGAGCCCAGTCAGAGCTCCCCAATTTCTTGGACCTTTAAGAAGTGACGTGTGCCTGTGATACCACCCCAGGTACCCTGGATGACACACAGGCTCTGAAGGACCAGCTCACTGACATACTGGTCTTTTGTCCTATGCTTCCCTGTCCAGACTCAAGGGCTTATTTCTTGGTCAGCCTGGCCTTCACCACCCACCGTTTTTGGGATCTGTGTATTCTCTTGTGGCCTGTGGCCTCCTTGCAGCTCTCTCTGGCCACCAGTCTGCCCTTCCTACATGTATTTGTTATTTCAACCAGCATGCTTTTTCAAGGCTCATGTTATCCTTGGACACTGTGTGAGCATCTTATGATGAAGGCTGAACTAGACCTATGTGATTGGGGTGGAGGGAGAACTCCAATGTTGGCAGGTGACTGAGTAAGACAAGAAAACAGGGCTGCTGGGATGAAAGGGAAGTTAAGGATCTGCTTTTGTTTGTTTAAAGAAATCACCCGCTTTAGTCTTTTCAAACACTGCTCAGTCCATGTAAAACATGTCTGTGGGTCCAGCCTTGTCCATGGACTCCTGTCAGTACCTTTGGTAAGAATGGTGGAGACTGACTTCTTCATGAAGTCTGACATCCCTGTCCACACCGCCCCCTTCGGCTTCTGGCTGACATCTAGCCTTGGCATCTTACATTGCAAGAGCAGCCAGGCATGCTGGTGCACACCTGCAACCCTGGCAGCAGGATCACAAGTTTAAGGCCAGCCTGGGATACAAATGTGAACCTGTGTCAAGACAAAGTCAGACAGCAAGGAAAGCTCCAGAAGCAGCTCTTGAAATGCGGACCTCAGCACTGCAGAAGCCCTATCCTCTTTGTTGACAGTAGTCATGGTGTTTGGTTAAATAGGAACACGTCCTAATTTTCTAGAATTATTTGTTAAATTAAGTATTTAAGAATGAAGTATCAAGTGGCTATAATTGTTTATTCCTTAATTTATTTTATTGTCCTGTTTTTGACATAGAGTCTCATGTAGCACAGGCATTCCTCAAACTTGCTGCATAACCAAGACTAGCCTTGAACTCCTGATCCTTCTGCTTCCACGTCCCAGGTCCTGGGATAACAGGAGTGCACCACCACAGCCAGCTCCAGCTGTGTTACCATGGGCCAGGGTGCAGCTCGGAACCCTTTCCTAGTGTGCATGCGGCCCTGGCTTCAGTCCTGTAGAGCCACAGCTCTTCAAATGAAAAGGCCGGAATGACGAAACAACTGATGAGGAGCTATTGAGAACTTGCCATTGTTCATAATAAAGTAAACCCACAACGGTTTACAGAGAGGATGGCATGGCCTTCCCACATTGCTTGTGAGCAGTCTCTCTTTTGCCTGTGTCCCCATGGAGTATGGAGATTCAGGCTGAGGACCAAAGCAAAAGCTGTTGGGAGCAGTTCAGGGCTCAAGGTCAAAAGCCAGGCAGCCTGCCTTGGTACTGAGGTGATAGGCATCCCTCTGTGCCAGGCAGCCTGCCTTGGTACTGAGGTCATGGGCATCCCTCTGTGCCAGGCAGCCTGCCTTGGTACTGAGGTGATGGGCATCCCTCGGTGCCAGGCAGCCTGCCTTGATACTGAGGTGATGGGCATCCCTCGGTGCCAGGCAACCTGCCTTGGTACTGAGCTGATAGGCATCCCTCTATGTATATACCATGGCTTCTGCTTAAGCCAAGGAGGAAGTGGGATTTCTGCGAACTGAATACAGGTGACTGTCAGAGAGAGAAGGTCAGGAGAGTTTGCCTCTACAGGTTGGAGGTTGTGTTGAGTTGAGGGTCTGAAATTGCACCTTAAAGACCTGTTTCTCTGCTAAGCTGCCATTTAGTTTAGGACTTGGGGCTGGTTCTTCCCATCATTCTTGTCACCAGCCTTGGTTGTGTCCTAAGGATGCAGCTCATGGGGAGCATGGGACACAAGGAAGACTCGAGGAGTGCTCTTGCTCCCTGGGGAGGTAGTGCATTCTGGAAAGTGTTTATCATGCAAGCTTGAGGTCTGAATTCAATTAAAACACCAAGTAAAAGGAAAAATACCTTAGCCTTAAAACAACAACAGACAAACAGAAAAACCAGGCATGATGACGCATGTTTGTAATCCCGTCACTGGGGAGGCAGAGAGAGACAGGAGGATCCCTGGGGTGTACTGGCCAGCTAGCCAGCCTACTCAGAGAGCTCTAGGTAAGAAATTCTGTCTCAGAAATAAGGTGGACACCCAAGGCTTTTTCCTGCGCACGCTCTGTCTCTCTCTGTCTCTTCTCTCCCTCTCTCTCTCTCTCTCTCTCTCTCTCTCTCTCTCTACTAGACAATGGTTGCTGCTCAGTTTGATTTTCTGTAATCAAAACAGCATGGGTTCCTCAGTACTGGTTCTCAATATGAATGGTACTAGGAAAGGGGGTTCCTCCAGGTGAGACCCTATCTGCCAAGTTATGACTGCCTGTAGGAGCTGGGTGAAAGGAGACATTCATTATTCAGGTGACACAAGGGCAGGCCAGACTGCTGGCAGGGGGTGTCCTCTGGCTTCCATGTGGGACACTTGCCATCTCTAACCTCCTGTGGCTGTAGTGCCCATTATCCCTGTCCAAGCCCAGAGCCCTCCACAGCACCCCCTGCCCCCAGGGTTGACAGCACCTTTCCCATCTTCTTGCTGTAGAGCCTTTCAAGCTGGCCTCAGAGGTTTCTCATGCAAATTAAAACCCAGGCCCATTCCCATCAACCCTGTCAGGAATGAACATCTAATCACTTGATGTGTTAAGTGTGGAAACCAAGGAGCAGAATCCAGCATCCAGACCCAGTGAGCATAGTCCAAGTGGTTCCAGCTTGGGCCAAAAGAGCCTTTGCTGCCTTGATCCCACCAGACTGAGGAGGTTTCGGCCACTGACTGGGGACAGTGCTGGTTGTGACCATCTAACCCACGGGACTGGAGTTGTGCTGTGGCAACTTGTGGCATGGCTTTGGACAAGAAAACCTTGCTGCTTTTATAGGACCAGGGAAACCCTGCTAGCAGAGTCTCTCTGGTTCTTCCTCCCACACAATTCCTGAAGGAGACTAGCCAGAGAACACACAGGGCTCTGTAAAACTGTAGTCTCAGAAAAACTGCAGTACTATCTGCATCTACACATGTCCTCTACTGCAGGGCCCGCTCTTCTATGTGGGGTGCACTTTTAAAATGTCACTCTTCTGGTACCAGGCATCTGTGTCCACTCGTGCTCTCTCACCCCATTCCATGGGGAGTTCTCTGCTGGAGAGCAGGGCACTAGGAGGCTTCCTCAGTACCATCTAACACACAGTCACACTGGACAAAGTGAGTCTGAGCCCCTGGGGAGAGGGCCCCTTCCTGTGGTCCGATGGTGAGGGTGAGCTCTGCTCTAGGCAGCAGCTTCCTCAGTTGCTGTGTGATCCAGCAAACTGTGAAGCTGCGAGTCCCTGCTCCCCCACAGCCTTCTCCTCTCTGCACTGAGCCCAGAAAGAGGGAGCCTTCACTGGCACCCATACTGCCCACATTCTTTGTCATGATCGAGAGCCCACCTAGGCAGAGGCATGCAGGTAGAAGTACCCGGAGAATGTGAAGGTGCAGGCCACTGTCTGGGCAGGGGTCCTACCTGCCAAGACCACAAGACACAGGCTGGGTGAGAGCACACACTCGGAGCCTCGGAGTGTGTACCCCATGTGACCATCTGACTTGGACACTGTGCCTGCCTTCCGGGCTGTCCCACACAGCTTTGGCCACATTTTGAAGAGATGGTAAATTTTTTTGTTCATAGAACCTTTTGTAATCAGTGACAGATTCATATTTTGAAAAACTGTTAGCACAAATGAAGCATGTCCTCTAAAGGATAGCAGTGTGATTAATAACTGTGTATACCATGTGGTTACCAGATTCACTTATGTCACCTCCAGTGGCCTGTGAACTCCATCGGAGCCACTGTTCTGTCCTTGGTCTCTGATGCCACACTTAGAATATTGTGACACCAAGAAACAACAGCCTTACCTAGCGATTCATTCATTCATTTGTTCATTCGCTCACTCATTTGTGGGAGCACACTGTACACAGATATTGGACCTGCCTTTCCTATGCTTGATAAAAATGGCATCCCAGACGTCTTTCCCATAGCACACGTAAAGCCGTGGAGACCAGTTGTGCACAGCAGTGATTGAACCCAGCACCATGCACACACGAGACAAGTGCTCCACCACTGAGCTGTACTCCACAGCCTCTGACAGTTGTTGCCTGATGGGTGCGTGTTGGACAAGATCCCCTTTGAGTTGATGACATAAGCATACTGAGTGCACATTCTTACCTACCTTCCTAGGACGCCAAGTTCGTGGAGGAGCGACGAAAGCAGCTCCAGAGTTACCTACGCAGCGTCATGAACAAGGTCATCCAAATGGTGCCTGAGTTTGCTGCCAACCCCAAGAAAGAGACCCTGGTGCAGCTGGTGCCCTTCTTTGTGTGAGTACCTGTTGGGGGGAATAATGGACACCACACCAAGCTCTGTCTGGGGCTTGTGGAGCAGGTGGTACCTAGGAGCTGTCGGTGGTGCTGAAATGCAAATTCCACCATGCACTTTGGGAGACCTGTGTGAGTGAGCGTCCTTGATGGTCTCTGTCCAGGACTGTACTTAAAATTTTTATTACCTTTTAAAAATGTGTGTGTGTACCACAGTGTGTGTGTGTGTGTGTGTGTGTGTGTGTGTGTGTGTGTGTGTGTAAGTCAGAGAACAACTTGCAGTTGCTTTTTCTCTTTCCACCATGTGGGTCCCAGCGGTCCAACTCAGGTCAGCAGGTGTGGCAGCAAGTGCCTTTAGTGTATGTGGGCAGTGCTTGAGATGGTGCCTTATCAGTGACAGTCACTCTGCTCCAAGTGTCATCCTTGCCTGAGGTGTTTATGTCTTTGCAGTTAGAGTGATCGTGGCACAAAGCCCTATCCCTATGGTTTTCAATGTCTCCAGGTACTGTTGAAGGTGATGATAGTGTTTCTAATATACTCTCTTCATGCAATCCCAGGTGAGAAGCCATAGGAAAAAGCCTGTGGGTCCCCGCAGGTACATTTGAGAAGCCCTTGTCTGAGTCTGGATAATTTGCTGGGACAAAATTAGAGTTTCTTTCCACTGGGGCTCTTTAAAACAGTATGCAGCAAGGCATCTGAGGCGTTCACTCCCACAGTGATGCTACAGCCAGGCTGATTTCCACTGTTTGTGGGATGTGCCAGAACTTCCAGGCTGAGCTTCTGACCAGACAGAGCTACTTTCTGCCCTGCAAAGGCCCTTCTATTGTAGCTGAGAAGACTGCTTATGGGTTCTGGCTGTCTCAAGGTTTGTGAAAAGACATGCATCTCGTGCACTGTGTGTTGAAAGATGCCTTCCCCTATTTACTGTTATCCAGTTAGTAGGACACCAGGGCCTAGGTATTCATACTCGGGAAGGCCACAGTATCTCTCACAGACATCTCCAGGTAAGGTGTGTTGGGAATTAACCTTTCCCTATGAGTCCCAGCAATTTGGGCTTTATTTTCTGTTGTAGAGCCCCAAGAGGACTGAAGGCAAGGAATCTGAGGGTCCCAGTGTCAAATAAACACTGCTAGGCTGCTGGGCTGTGACAACTGTACTGCTCTGTGCAACAGTTCTGGAATGCAGGCTCAGCAGTTTGTGTTAATCGGTGCTGTGAGAGATGCTTTCTGTCCCTGATTAGTGCACAGAGCACAGGGTCCAGTTTTGTGAGCTTAAAGAGCAAAGGGAATTTCAGCAGGAGACCAGGGAGTGGAAGTTTGACCAAACACTGGGCTAGACTCTGGGTAGCACTAAATATCCGTGTCCCTTTGGCTTTCCTGGACATTACAAATTAAACTATATCTCCTGTCTTTTGTGGGCAAGATGAGGCTGCAGGGTGAAAGCTGCAGGTGGTTCAGAGAGGTGATCTGCAGCCAGATCTTGGCCATACTAGCAAAGGTCCTCACGACCTTTGAGGACCATGAGACCAGCATCCCCGATGAAGTTCCTAGCGAGAGAGTTACAGTTAGAGATATGTACAAAGACACGTATACACACACACACACACACACACACACACACACTCTCTCTCTCTCTCTCTGTCTCTCTCTCTCTCTCTGTTTTACACACACAGAGATATACAGACAAGTATACACATATACACAGAGATATACAGACAAGTATACACACATGCACATTCACACAGACAAGTATATACACATATTTATACACATTCATACAGATACACAGGCAGTGTACACATATACACACAGTCTCACACACAGAGGTTCACAGTTAAGTATAAACACACAGACACACAGACATGTATACACACATATACATATACACTCACACAGACACACAAGCAAGTATACACACACATATATACATACAGATAAATATACACAGAGATAAATACATAGACAAGTATGCACACACATATACATATACTCATACATAGATAAGCCTACACACATATATACATACACAAACACACACAAATGTGCATACACAGACATACACACAACTATATGAACACACGTGTGCACATATGCATGTATTTCTAATTAATGAAATAAACCCTCAAAGCATTATTGTTACTAAATCTCTGCAGCTGTCCCTTGGGTCTTTCAGACACTTTGTCTTATTTTCATGTCAAGTGAGTGAATATTCAGGATGCATTTCCGAGACACTGTCACAGTCAGATGGGCCAGCCTCATGCTGCACCTGCCTTTTCTCATCGTCTTCTAGGCTCTTGATGTCCTGGTGGAATTGTATGAAGGTGCCGTTAAAATGCCGACCCCACAAGGTTTTGTAACAGTTAGATTATAGTGATATGATTACACGTATAGACTATTTTATAACGTGTACAGCCAGAGAGGAGGCATAATTGATCTTAGGGCTGCTCCCACCACATGGGGAGCCAGGGCAGAATGGTGCCCTCACCTAGGTTTGGGGATGCAGTTGGGAAACTTACAGCCTGTGAGCACACCTGCTCCTTCTGTTTCTGAAGTGACGTGGTTGCCACTATAAAACAATTGAGCTCCATCAGATTAAAACATTGAGATTTCAGGCTTCTCTTGAACATAGAATTGCTCTTGCCCTGCCCCCTGCCATACAACACTCGGCTTTGACCACTAGTGACTCTGTACCCCTCAGATCCTGCTGTCTCCTAATGCTACCCCTGTCTCCCCACTACACACATCACTCTCTGGCTGGTTTCAGACATGCTCATGGTGTCATGTGCTCACTGTATCACACACTCACAGGACCTGCCTAGTTCTGCAGAGACTCGAGGGTGTGGCTCTGGACCATGGCCTCTCTTCCCAGAGCCCATCCACATAGGTGATGGACTTGGGATACATGCATTTGCTCATGCCGTGTGCCTGCCTGTCTGTTCTATGAGCCAATCTGTGTTTACTTCCTATTTTAGTAGCCTATCCCCCCTGGAGATATGACAGGGAGCAGGGAAGATCAGACCCCTGAGAGGAATTGAGTGGTGAATCCCCCCCTTAATATGCCGTTATGTCCTCAGGATTCTGTAGTGTTGGTCTACTTGGGACAGTGCCTGCTCCCACACACACTCTGCGTTGTCAGTGCCGTTACATGTCCAACCTCATGGCTGTTGAGCAGATCTGAGAGTGGACTTGAATGAGAGCAGGTTGAATGTGCCTTCCCCACTTTGGCCTGCAGCCCCTCTGAGGCATAAGGTGGGACAATGGAAAGTGGGCATTTCTTCTCCATTTTGGACTCTGTACCAGTGTGGCACATGGGGATGCCAGACTTCCCCTGCATACACCAGATAGGGAGCAGAAAGATAGCAACCCCTACTGTCCACTCTGAGGAGCCCCACATTGTCTGTGTTCTCCGAGCACTTGTTTTCTTAATTAAATTTTTGATTTATTTTACATACCAACCACAGTTTCCCTCCTTCCTCTCTTTCTGTTCAAAAAGGGGCAGGCCTCCCATGGGAGTCAACAAAGCATGGCACATCAAGTTGAGGCAGGGTCGAGCTCCTCCACCCAGCATGGGGAATAGGTTCCCATAAACCAGCTCATGCGCCAGGGACAGGTCCTGATCCCACTGCTCGGGTTCCCACAAGCAAACCCCACATGCAGATAGCCTAGGTCGGTCCCACACAGGCTCTCCAGCTATTGGTCCAGTGTCCCAGGACTGCAACCTGCTGGGGAGGTTTACTCAGGTCCCTGGGGAAAAGTTGGTGCCATTACTGAAGGGAGGGCTGACTTGAAGAGTTCCCTGAGGAACTGGTCAGCACATCCCAAGGTTTCAGTGATTTGCTAGGCTGTCATTTAACACGTTACTAAAACATTTCTTTATAGAGGAACTCGCCCCTTGGGAGCTGCCATGCCCCTGGTGGGATAGGTGAGGGAGACAGGGTGAAGTAGGTCTCAGCACAGAGTTCAGCAGGGGTGTGGTCCCCGTTTCTCCCCCACTCACCATTACTTTTACTCCAGATGTTGTTAAATATAGCTTCTGCTGAATTGAGAAATCCATGCTCTCCCAGAGAGCAATTAAGTTTCGCCCAGGGTCACAGTGGGCTGCCTTCTCTCTGCCAGGGCCCACTTGAGCCCACACTGAGGCTTTTTGTCTCAGAAGGGGTTACTGATGTGCACAACACAGAACCTGCTATCCTAAGCTGCTGTGGCAGATGATCAGGAGCCTTCTAGGTGCCACAATTCTCTTCAATGCCGAGCTCTGGAGAGGGTTTAAAAATAAGTGTAACTTTAATAGCATTGAGAGGGTCGTGCCTTGCTTTGTTAAACTCTGACCTTCCACAGCATCCCAGTCTCCATTGTCTGCCCAGGTAGCTCCTGTGTGACCTGGGGCAGGAGGCTGCCTCTGTCCTGGATCTAGATTTAGTCAAGAGGCACGGAGCAAAGCCCAAGGTTGTAAGCCTTTCTCCCAGCCCTCCTCTGCTACTGTGTTGCAAGGATAGACTGGTGTTTCTCTCCTTTTCCTCCCTCCCTGTGCTAGAAGCTGAGTGCGCTGTAAACAACGGGCATGCTTGCAAATGAAATAAAGCTAATTATGCTAATTTGCATAGGATGTGCCACAGGATAGGAGCTGTAAGAAGTGTGTTCTAGAAGCATGCTTCTGGTGTGCTCGTAGCCTCACTAGGAAGTAGGTGTAGCATGTTGAGAAGCTCTGAGCAGGCTGAGGAGTAGACTCATTGGGTCTTGTTAAGCTGTCTGCAGACCTGTGGGCTCTATGATCAGACGTGAGACAGTTGTTGAAAGCAGTGTGTGCTTTGCCCTGCCAGATGCCCTTCTTTCCGTGGAGTCAATGAGACCCACCTGGTGTTTGTGTGGTTATTCCTTCTCCAGGTGAGAAAAATAAGCAGCATTGCAGCGGTGCTGGTGGGATTAGCTGGAGTCCTCTGTGTCTGGGGGTACTCTTGCCTGTTACTCTCTCAGTTCTGTTCACTGCACAGGTCGTATAATGGT